TTTCTTGTATGCATTTGGGGGTATTGGATATGTACGTTTGTGAATCCCACACCCACATGTAGTTAAAGAAAGAATGGATGTTTCAGGTTTTTTCGGTTTTTTATTAATACCAATATAGAATGTACAATATGTAAATTTCCATCCAACTGATATCAATTTGGTTTACAATATAAAAAATATAATTTTTTTTAATCTGCAGAGGTTTGATCACTCGTACCAAGTTACCAAAAGGTAGGTTTTCTTTTATTCATTATGCAATAGATTTTTTAGAATTTTATCCTTTAAGTTTAAGAATAAGAAATGACAGTTGTCAAAAGTCCTGGAGCTGAGCTATCAGAAAAGTATTGTATGAAAGCATTATCTACATTTTCACAACAGTGGATATGGTGTCACACTTTACCCATAATCCTTTGCCAGAGAATCAAAATGGCGAGACATAATACTGATGAAAAGTTTAATATTTAGAGAATGAAAAGTGTAAAAATCTGTAAATTGCGTTCCCTTACATTTGTGGAGCTTTGTCTAGGAGCATTGATTTTGCCTTGACTTCACCTTTAAGATAAAGCTGTTATGCTTAATTAACAATTCTTGAAATAATGGGCGGAAATGTAATTTGTTTTGTCAGATATTTTGTTAAACAACCATTTGAGATTCTATTGATATGTGCCATTAGGTTATTCCTTAGTTGTTATTCGTGGTAGCTGTAATCAAATTACGAAATAGATTTGTAGAAATATAGAGAACTGGTTTACTGTGTGGAAGCTATACAATACGCATTGATTACATTGCCAGGGATTTTTTTTAAACGAGGGAACAGAGGCGCAGTGCCCTCGTGCCATGGCCATGCGCCCCCTTACCCTGGGAAGCAGGTGCTCTGGCAACCATGAATTTCTGAATGACCAGGGATCACATGTTGCCACAGTCTTCAACTGTGATCTGTCTGATATGAAATGCTCCATTTTAACTTGCAATTATCAAAAACTACACACCCTTGTAGGGAGAACCCTATCTCCCAAACTTGGTGGCGTCGCTAAATTGCAGTGCTCCCTCATGCAAATTTGTTTCTAGAAAAAACCCTGCATTGCCATACAAAGCAGCTGATATTTTGAAATACTTTTAGTTTTGTGGAAGACAAAGGGAAATTTTTTGTAGTGTAAGTTTTTCTGAAGTTCTTTTGACAATTGTCACAGTAACATTCAGTTCTGTTAACTGAGATTAAATTAGCATGCAAGTTTCTGGCAATAAAATGTACTAATTTACAGTACATTTGTATGTGACCTCTGACTCTGTCTTGTGCCCTCCTTCCTCAATTCTTAGTGTCTACAGACTTGCATATGTCCTTTGTTTTACCCAACAGAAATTGTTGAGTATATTGTATTTGGTACCGTGATACAAGAGGTGAAGACAAGTAATATTGCAAGAGAGGTATGTACAATTTATAAAAATAATTTGCCAGTGTTGGACTGGAGTCTATTTGAATTCAATACTTTATAAACTGCGCATACATTCTTCACAAACCATACTTATACAAAATCTGGCTGTCATTAAGGAACATGGTAAAACAAGTAGTAAACTTCCTTACCGAATAATTGTTTCCGATAGCTCTCTTTTTAGTGTAACTCGACTTTTATTTTTTGCAAATTACTCTACTGTATTTGCTCTATTAGAAGTGCATCTCCAATATAAGCGCACATAAATATAAATCAAATTATTTTGACTATAGAAACACCTGTATTTTAAAGTAGCTCCTGCACTATAAACAGATCAAAGACTATAGAAACACCTGTATTTTACAGTAGTTCATGCACTATAAACTGATCAAATACTGTATTTTTATGCAAATTATTCATGTTTATTTAACAAAATTATTTTGTTCATATACTTTGATATACATGTAGTGGAAGACCAGAGCACGACTGGTTGCAAACTACTAAATATGACTAGAATGTAATTGACTGTCCTTCTTTTTTGATCTTAATCTTAATCTGAATTGTGATAGAAATAACCTGTTCAAAGTATTCCTTTGGAAAATTAAGTAAAATATAATAAATACCCTACCTCCCAACTCCATATTTTGTTAGCCCGGAAACACAAAATTTTGTTTTCACCCTCATTAAAATTGTAAGGAGGGGATTGTCCAAGGCCTTCATGAATTTTCTAAAATAGATGTCAGAGCTATAAATGCAATGTCAGATTCTGTGCTTTCATTAGGAAACACCAACAACAGTTTGTTTTGCTCTCACCATTTATACACTTGCATAATATTTTATTGATTAAAAACAAATAAGAGACTGAACGCAAGTCTATAATAATTTGAGTTTTTGTTAAAGCGTGGGAGTCGTCACCTGCGCATGCGTCAAATGGCCATAGCGTGTCATTGTTTACAAACAAGCATCTACCCATGAAGCCTTTTTGTGTTTT